CTTGGCCCTGGCTGGCATCCCACAGACGTCCACATACCTGCATGTTGCACGGCTTCGACATGTCCTCGCATGTTTCCAGCTAAAGGTGCCAGAGATTTGGGCACTTGCTCATTGGGAGAAGTGCTGGTTGCAGTCCGTCCGTGATTCAGTCAGATGGTTGTGGGACCAGCTTGACGGAGGTGAGCAGTACCCAGTCTGGGAAAAAGCATGGGCGGAATGGCGCAAGGAATGTAGGGAGCACCCTGGCAGATGGAAAGCCAAGCTCCGACGAGCATTGGCCAGAGCCCTTCAAAGAGAACGATGGCAAGCCACCATTGAACATCATTTCGGTCTGCTTGCAAAACAGCTCCACTTAAGGGGGGCTTTTCTCCCACATGGGGCCGGTGCCGAGCCCTGTCGGCGAGAACTATGCGCTTGTTGTGGGGTCGTTTTTGGTGACTTGAGAGCCTGGTCCGTACACGCCTTCAAATGCCATGGCAGAGTCGATGAGGTACGATCCCTTGTCGATGGCCTTCAATGCCCTCATTGCCTCAAACACTTCGCCACCAACATTCGGTTGTGTCGGCATGTGCGACACACCAAGGTGTGCCGGCGGGCCCTGCTGAGTGGACACCACCGAACGAACCCGGTGCCTGGAATCGGTAGCCGGAAGGCGCCGAAAGAACATCTGTACTGTGCCCCGTCCCTGCAGGCGGCAGGGCCCAAGGCCTATGACATAGGAGACAACATCGAGGATGAGATTGATAGGCCGTCTGCTGAAGTCCTCGATTGCCTCGCCCTTTTGGACTTTGATGGAATTGGGCAGAATCTTGACCAGGCTGTCGTGTGGGATCGGATTAAGCAGGCCTTCTCGTGTGTCTGTCTACCGGTCCGCAGGCTGCAGGTGACCGCTGAAGTCTGGTACGATAGGGTCATGCGGGGGACTAGGAGTAAGGTTACCCACTCACCTTTCGACGATTTCCTCCGCCGAGCAGCCGCGTGGGTTCTGCATGCGGACTTTGTCGATTGGCTGGTACCCACGCCCGAGGGGCGTACGAATCCCCTACCTGCTTTCCGACACTGTGCTGCCTCGTTGGCCTTGCTCGACCTTGCTAGTGTTCAGATCCCAACGCCGCAGATCTGGTCTAGAGAACATGTGCTGGTTTGCGTTGGACAATGGCCGCCGCAATTCTTGGAGGGGAGCGACCTCCTCTCTCCGCTGCTGTTTCCGCATGAGGAGTCCCTCCTCAGAATCTCAGAGGGGAAGGATCTGGAATTCTTTTGCAGTGATTCAGCCGAGTGCGGCTTCTTCCTCACGACGTGTGGATTGCCCTGTCCCGCAGTTGCACTTGACGACTACCTTCCCCACTTTGAGGATTCGTTACCTGCCCTCAGATTGTCCGGCGACATCGTTCGCTTTGCGCTGAAACTGTGGTCTTCCGGTGTACGCACTTGTTTGCAAACGCCATGGCCATGCGGCGAGGACACTGCTCTGCTCTGTAGGATTGAGGGTATCAGGTTTTCCATTGGTGTTGATCGCGCCACCTTTTGGGTTGGCTCGCCGAGCGCACCTCTTGATCTGTTTCACCATGTTTAATTAGTTGCAAGTCCCAAGGGCTGCGTCGTATCGACCCTGTGCCCGAAAGAGTGAAAGAGTGATGTATGTATGTATGTATGTATGTATGTATGTATGTATGTATGTATGTAGTTATGTATGTATGTATGTATGTATGTATGTATGTATGCATGAGTGTACATTATGTATGTATGCATGTATGTATGTATGTATGTATGTACATACATGCTTACGTACATACCTGCACACGCATATATATATAATATATATATATATACATATATATATATATACATACAGATGTGTGTATGTATATATATATATACACATATCGACACATGGACTTACGTATGTAGGAGCGTGGGCAGACACACACGCATGCATACATATACATATTTACACTTAGATATGCAACCACAAAAACCATATAGGACCATCCTTGCAGACTCGACTACACACACACACATTTATTTACATACTGATGTGTATATCTATATGAACACATAGATACACATTTATTTGCACACATGTATATGTGTGTTCATTGTGTCGGTGTGTACATGTATACATGGATAAAGGCATACATGCAGATATTCTTATGTTTTTAAAGCTATACGTATCACCGCCCCCCTGCCCCAACAAAAAAGAAAGATACAGTAAATGCATGCAGCCATGAGGTAGCAAACCGAGGGCGCCTCAATGCCCTAAACTTAAACCCGACGAACCCTTAAGCGAGACGCCCTCCGAGAACATGGCTGCCACGAATCCTGAACAGTTGTTTCGCCTTATACTTGGGGACTTGGGGTCTGGTACTCAGCCCACCACTCGTTGGAAGTTCAACCCCAGGCCTGAAACCAGGGGGATATACTAAAGTTCTATGTACAATGATCATGTAGTATGGTATAACAGATAGCATAAAGCCCCACTTAAACCTTCATCCTTCAACCCTGAACCCTGCAATGAGGGCACATCCTTGCCATGTAGGAGGCAAGAAGCCGTAAACCTAAGAAACCTAGAATCTAGAACTCGCAAAGCTCGACCTCTTACCCAAGTTGCGAGTATTGAGGATGTCGGATTCGGACAGCTATATCAGCAGCCCCGGGAGTCTGTGGGAGTGTCGCTGGATGGGCCAGGTTGGTTTTGTCAAGGGTTTACACGGCTCAGGTGGTGTACGGTTTAGCGATCCAGGCAGCAGTTGTTGATTTAGGATTCGGTTCTGAGTGTCAGGGGCTTAGGCTATATCTCGGGGTCAGGGTTTAGACAATGTTGGACGTGTGCTGCAGAATGGCAGCAGTGCCCATAAACTTGAGGACAGCAAGGCCCCGGACATGGGCTTACATGCCCACACAGTGAAAGTGTTTTGCATCCCCACACCTTTAAAGCCTCAAAGCGTGCTATATCCAAAGCCGTGTTCCATCCTGACCTGCAGCCCATGACTCGTGTTCCTTGAGACCTGCAGGACACCCCGAACATTTAGTTGATGCGTTTACAATCGATGTGTTTATACTGATAACGCTCAATACTTAAAACTTGCAACAATAATAGTCATTACTTTAATAATTTTCCTGCAAATCTAAGATCTCGAAGTCCCAGACTGGAGTTAACTCAAGCTTTGGCTTCTCGAAACTTCGACTTCGAGCTTATGTCTTGCGGGCATGGGGTCCTCGAATGGCACAAAGGCTAAGGGATGTTGACAGATTTTTTGGTTTGGAGCGGCTGGTTTGGGGTTTAGGCTGTTTGGTTGTTGTTTTCTTCGGGGAAGGGGGGGGGTGAGTGGCCCTGCGGCCCTGCTAGGTTTTTGTCTTCGGTTTGGGGTGTAGAGTCAGTGTAGAGATCAGGACTTAATGCAGGCATGTCGTCACCATTACCACTTCTTTGAGTTCCTGTTGCAAAAAATTAGCGCCCATGCGGGGGACCTCCAAAGCCCGATTCTACTTCCTAAGACTTGTACATTGCTAACAAGACCTCCCGTTAGTGGCTCCCGGGTTGAATTCGGGTTTTGATCAGTCAGGAGTTGCCTTCAACTACTTGCATGCTGAGCCAGCAGCAAAAAAGAGGGAGCCCGTGGACGACCGAGGAGGGACGTTCAGTTGTCCCACTCTGAACCCAAAACACTACACCGCCATGGACATAGGAAGGGCAAGCCCGACATTGCCGGAAGACACCACATGGTTTCATAGCTTGGACCCCGCCCCCGGCATAGAGTTTAGGGTTTAGTAGTCCTGAACCCAACCCGCGCATAACTCCAAAATCCTCAACAAATAGTATCCTCATGCCACTAAGGCTCAAAGCTAAACCCAGTGTTCGTCGCGACCTTCCATCCAAAACCTTAAAATCCTGAAACCTGAATCCAAACCCTTCACCGCACTTGTCCACTCGGTCGGGCTTCCTTTTTTTGCCGCACCTGCGGAGCCGAAAACTCTTCGTCGTCTTGTCTTAAAATAAAAGTCCTTAATAACTAGAATAGGGCTTTGGGGGCTCCTTATTATACAACGATAGTACAAGATACCCCCAAACCATATTCTAATGATTGCCATGGCTGAAAGACTATTCCTTTGCGAACAGGAACGGCTTCAAGTGTTTAACGACGATTCCGAGGCTCCGCTGGGTTCTTGTTAAGCGGTTTGATTTAAGCTACTATAGTAAGGAAAGCAGCCACCTTACTTACTATAGGTCCCTATTATGGTAACTTAAGTTAAATTCCTTGGCCCTAATCCCTAAACCCTTATTATGCTATAGTAACTTATATCACATCCCTTTTAACAAGAACCAGGTGCTTTTCGGCATTGGGTCTGTGTACCCGGAGCAGCTGCCAAGGGGCGGGAGTTCTTCTCACCCGGACCTCTTGGGCACGTGATCTAGGGCTCTAGAGTTTAGGGCTTAGGGTAAAGAGCCTAGGGGTTTTTGGGGTTAGGATTTGGGGTTTAGTCTATAGGGCTTAGGGGTTTAGGGGTCATAGGGTTTAGGATTTCGGGTTTAGGGGTTAGGGTTTCTGACCATGACCCCGGGGTACGTGATGCAGAGCCGACTCCAGCTGATGATCAGGAAGCCCTGGCCACAGCAGAAGAAAGAAAGCATGGCACTTCGCTTGATGGCCTTGGTCTCTCGACCTTACACCCTAAACCGCCTACACCCTACACCCCTAAACCCCTCAATCCTAAACCGCCTATAAACCCTAAACCCCTAAATTCTGAACCGCCTAAACCTAAGCCCCTAAACCCTAAACCGCCTACACCCTGACATCCTCAAGCAGAGAGCCGGATGGATGTGAAACCCAGTAGCTCCAGCGTGTTGAATTTGGTTGCGTGCAAGTTCTGCTGCTTCGATTTTTGGGCTTGCGGGTTGGGGGGGGGAAGGTTTAGGGTTTGGGTTTCGGGAAACCAGGACCTTTGCAGGAAGATGTATCAATGTATGCCGGTTTCGACGTCCTATGTCATGAGTCAAGGTGAGGGCCGTGCCGTCTTCGACTACGAGGCTGTCTTCTGAAACGGATTCCTTGCAGGGCACGTGAGATTTTACTCGAACCCCCAACCCCCCCCACCCGGTTCGGAAGACAGGGGTCCGACTCTAGCCCCAGAGTACCCAACCCCACCTAAACCCCAAACCCTAAACCCTAAACCCCAAGCCGAAACCACCCCTTCAATCCTTTGAAGGCACCAGGAAGATTTCGGAAAGAGTGCAGACCTTTCTTGGGCCTTGCAAGCATTCTGGGATCATCCTCTTTGTATACATGGGTAGTTGTCCCTTTTAGGGTCCTGTTAAATAAGGGTGCCGCAGTATAATGGGGACCCTAAAAAGGGAGCCTACTTTAGAGAACTACCCATATATTTCAGACTTTACGCCTAACCCTAAACACTAAACCCTAACCCCCCGCCCTAAGCGCCTAAATCTGTGGAGGGGCTTTAGAAAGCCTCGGAGCGACGGTTTAGGGATTGACTGGATTTCCAGCTATCCATACAGACATACACCAGAAAAAGTAAAGCACATAATGCACATCCATTATATGTAGGTGTGCGTGTGTATATATGTGCATAGAGATATGCATGCACGTATTTTATGTATGTATGCATGCATGTATGTATTTATGTGTGCCTACAAATAAGCAAACAACTACAAACATATAACATCACATTGTACATATGCATGTACATGCGCATGTACATATATATATATACATATGCGTGTATTATACACATATATACATATATGTGTGTAAAAATAATCAAAAAATAGATAAGTAGATAAATAAACAAATAAACAGAAGTATATATAGATGGACACATCTCTCCCACCCGCGGTTCCTACTTGCTAGTGGGTTCGGGATTCGAGCCTTGCTTTCGGCTAGAATCGAAGTTTTAACCACTCCACCGAAAAAAAAACGAAACGCAGCGGAGCTGCAATGATATTTCTGTGTCTTTGTTGGTCTGTATTCCTGTGGCTTCGAACCCCCAGCCTGAGACCAAAAAACACAAACCACAGATCCAGAGAGAATGCCGGCACTGGTTATTTTGGTTCTTTGATTTCAATTTGATCTCGTTTTGTCGTGTTTAATGCTTGTTTGTTGTTTTTGTTGTGTGGTTTTGTCTTTTGGGTTCTGGTGTTCCGACTACTATGGCTAGTTGGCACTGGATAAGACAATCATGTAAAACCCAAACCAGCAAAATCAAAGCACCAGCAATACACGAAAAACACACAGAGCCAAACGACCTAAAATAACAAAAAGCAACAAGACACTTCCGGCAGTCTGTCCGCATCTTTCGTATTTTTTTGTGGTCTCGTCCTTCATCTTGAGTGTTGCGCGCCTGCGCTCCTACTGGGGATTCCCATACCAAAGCCCTAAACCTTAAACCTTATACCAAAGATTTTTGCAGTTCCTTTAGTATTCTACTATTGGTCTATGTAAGTTTGCTCCACAGGCTCCGTTTCTGAATACTCCGGTACCCAGTAGTCGTTTCAGAACGAATTATTTCATTCAGGTCTTGTGCTTACACATGCCCGTATGCGCAACCGGGCTTACTAAGCCTCACACATGAGTAGCAACTGCAACAGATCTCGCAGAAGCGGCATTCATCAAACATATAGTTAGAATAAACCATATCGTTGTTTGTATCGTTTGATTATTCCGTGATTCCTTGTCTTGTCGAGCCGAGTTTATATCTAGGTGGGTAACCATCTAATCATCTGTCGTTACCGCTGGTTTTACGCAACGACACTGCCATTGAGCTCCCACTTCTTTATGCACCACAAATTTCAATATCGCTCCATTTGTTTCGCAATCTTTTACAACCGTACATGCAACACCAAGCCGTATTGCTAGGTTAATGCCGTTACGGCTGTAATCTTAACACCATGGCACTGGAATTGCAGTGAATTTCGTCAATAGCGGCTATTCGCAACAGTCCGTGACCCATTGTTATAATTGCAGGTACGGTGCGCGTACTGGAATTATAATCGTCATACCCGTACAACCAGCCTATCCAATGCCCACTTCCATTTTCAGTGATACCTAAAGAACGCATACGTTCTGCTGTGTACGAATTATCGTACCAAGTGTAGGCAGTGTAGTCTGAGTATCACATTTACATTTACCAATTCAATGGAATGGAACGAAATGGAAAGGAATGGAATGAAATGAAAGGATAGAAGGATGAAGGAATGGGTGAACGAGTGAACAGATGAATGAGTGAATGAAGGAATGAGCGAAGGATAAATGAATGGTTGACTGATGGAATGAAACCAAATTAAATGTCATGAAATGACATGAAAAGACTGAGCGAATGAATGAACGAACGAATGAACGAATGGCTGAGTGGAGCGAACGAGAGAGAGAATGAGTGACTGAAATAACCAAAAAATGAATGCGTGAATGAATGAACGAATGGGATGTGAAATGCTCTGGCTGGACTGAATGAATGAATAAATGGATGGATGGATGGATGGATGGAAAGGAATGCATGAATGAATGGAAGGAAATGAAATGAATGAATAAATGGATGGATGGATGGATGGAATGGAATGAAATGGATGAATGGATGAATGAATGAATGAATGGATGGATGGATGGATGGAATGGAATGGAATGAATGAGTGAACGAATGAATGAATGAATGAATGAATGAATGAAGGAAGGAATGATTCACCTGAATCTGAGTTTACAGATGATGAACACATACATGAAGACACAGTTAAACAGCTAGAGCAGCTAGAGGAATGACATGCAAATAAGCCCTAAACCCTAAACCCCTAAACCCTAAACCCCTAAACCCTAAACCCCTAAACCCTAAACATTCCCTCCGAAACTTCGGCATGGCCGCTTGATCACCATAAAACACCAGAGAAATGTATCCTACAGTTTAGGGTTAAGGGGTTAGGCTTTCGGGGTTTAGGGGTTTGGGGTCTAGGGTATTCCGCAAAGAAGCTTTATTTAACCTCATGATCAAAAGCCTCTAAGACTTGTTCGCTACATTTTCTTACTTTTCAGAGCCCTTTTTTCATCATCTTTTGGTAGGACCCTTCGGTGGCGATTCGTTTTTTGGCGACCAGCTCGGACTGTCTCCAAGGCAGGGTTCAATCGAAGGGCTTACGGGCATACGTGTTGTGGGTCTTGAGAGATCAAGGTTGAGTGTCCTGCGTTGAGGGTTTGTAGTTTAAAGCGTTCAGCTTAGTAAGGATCATGGACCTTCAGGGTTGTTTTTCCCGAGCTTCTCGACCGGCGTGTTGACAGCTGATACAGAAAATCCTCGTTGACTATGCTACAGCCGTTACGCCAAGACGAACTACCGTCATTAAGTTTGCGACACGGACCCTCAGCCTCGCCTCAAACCCAGTTGTGTGAGCTACCAATCTGTACGGGGTTTGGGTGCACCAAAATGCACATTGTGGCGACGTCATAGTTTGTCCTGTGAACCGGGCAGGCCGAGAATTGTGGTCCGCTTTGCCGGCAGAGGCAGCCGAACAGCCAGACAGGGTTTAAGGGCGCATCGAAACCTTAGGCGGTTCGGTGATTCAGGGGCAAAGGCTCTCAAAGGATCAAGGTCTTGTTCTGGTCTTCATCTTCAACATGCAAAACCCCCCTTTTGTTACAGTATACATAATTAAATTAAGCGCTGTCATTAGCTTGAAATAGCCGGTGTTAGCTTCAGATGTCCTTGACATTCTCAACCAGCATCGAGCGACCAGCCGGGCAACCTAGGATCTAAACGTGTCCACCACGGCTACATGGGACTTTCCGAAAATGAGGGTGCCTTATTTGGGGGGTCCTTATAATAAGGGTCCTACTATTTAGGGTACGTACTATATTAGGGTCCCATGTTTTCGGAAACCCTCACATACAGCACCGCAGCTTGAAGTGCAAGGTTTGAACACAACACCAACCTAAACTGGCCTAAACGGTTTAGAGGTCAGGAAAGTAAGTAACAGATAGTTTCGGGAACTGATCAAAGATTCCAATGGAATCAGATTGGGTCGCGGGTCGAGGTCATCTGGCTGGCTATGAGGAGGGACGATTTGGGGCGTGAACTTGTTATTTCGTTGGAGCTGTTAAACCAAGCTCGGGCTTGACGTGGCAAGAGCTCCCGATGCTTCCGCATACCTCCGTTTAAAGAGGCACAACGGCACAACCACTATTGGAGTGCAGCAGTGGTTTCACAGGCCATAGTATGTGTGCAGACACATGATTGCTTGCCGCCCCGAATGTGTTGACTTGGCTGACCAGTGCATAGAGGGCATCAAGTTATCAAAGATGCGGCTCTCACCTTAGGCCCGGCATAGGCTCAGGCAGTTCCAACGGTATCTATTTGACCGAAGGCTGCGACCATGGACTTACTATTTATGGTTAGGATTACATGGTAGGAGAACACTTCAGCCACCCAAATATTAAACTTTGAGGCTCGGGTCCTTCGTACCACCCCTGAACCTGCAAGCTTCACATCCCAGCAAAATATTGAAGCCACTAACCTTTAAAGTTCCTAAACATTACTACCTGGAGGACTAAAGCCCTACGCGCATTGCGGCCCTGTGCCCACGCCCCTGGAATGGCGCAGACTTATTTCGGCTAAGTCAGTGTAGGGTAGGTTTGAGCTCCTTTTTGGGTTAGTGACCTCGTTACCTAACACCCGATTATGGATGTCTGAGTTGTTGCTGCGTTTATCCCCTTAGTGATAGTCCTGACATATTTACCCCCCACCCCAGCCCTGTTCTATCTTTTTATCAGGTGGCCGCTGCCACGCTGTGCAGCGCAGGGCTTCGCGCGGCCTGTGCCGCCCTGCGCACATGCAAGGCCGGATTAGCAAGAGCTTAGGGTGCAGAGTTAGAGGGTAAAGGTCCTAGCCACGGTTTTCGATGTCCTCTGCTTCCAGATGGAGCAGGGTCTTATACAAGGTTTCGGGATGCAAAAGGTGTAGGTCTTGTAAAGCGGTCTCTAAGCAGAGAAGCCCTAAACTAGCACGGCGGTCGGAAACATGTGCCTCCAGGATGCTTTCTGGGATCTTTTGTCCGCCTTTTCCTGGTTTCGTAGAGCTTATGTACTGTAGGTCAGAAGTCAAATCATTCGTATTGATACACCCTTATGGACCGCAATGAATACTGTACCTGGTGCCTTTTAGACCCTGGCCAAGAATCCCCCAACAACCTCCTATACTTTGGGAAAAACCCTTCAACCCTAAATCCTAAACCCTAAACCCTAAAGAACCCTTCAACCCTTAACCCTGCACTGTCAGGGCTGGAGCGAAGATGCAATCAGCCTTGGCTGCCGGGAGCGGGCCTACAAAGAGATGACAGGCTCCGCTCACAAGTCGTGTCAGGGTTTGATTTAGGGTTTAGTTGTTTGGGGCTTAGGGTTCTGCATGCCGGAGTTTACAGGGCTAGGTCTTTTTTTCTTGGTGGAGAGCTCAAAAACAAAAAGCAGCTGTCCTGTCGGCTCTTGGCCTTCTTGCATCGTCAAGCGTAATATCCGTTTGGGGCCCAAATGGAGACACGTGTGATGCATATGAGCCTGAAGTCGGTGGTCCAGATGCAGTGAAGAAATGAAAGGGGTGGTAATGCTGTTTATGGGGGCTTCGCAAGTCTTCAGCGTCTGAGACCCTCAAGACTGAAGCCCTGTTAGCAAGTGTTGCTATTCTTGACCTAAATACTCGAGCCCTGATTATCAGGGCGTTTATATGCCTTATATGCCAGGTTACTACAAACCTGCTGCTGCTGCTTGGGTCCTAAACTTTTCAACAGCCCGCCACATCTTAAACCTCCACAGAAATTTCGAAACACTCGGCAAGGGCTCTCTCTCTCTCTATATATATATATACATATACATACATGTCTCTCTCTCTCTCTCTGTATATATATATATATCTATATATATATACATATACATACATGTCTCTCTCTCTCTCTCTCCATATTTATGTTTATAATGTATACATGCATATGTATATATATATATATATGCTAACCCCCCCACAATTGACCAACTCTGGCTTCTCACATGACGCCTGCTCAAGACAGTCTCTTCACAAGCAAACGCTTCAAGCACACTGCTTTCGCAGTGACCTGTACAACACGTATTCGGGTTCTTCTAAAAGCTCATCACCGTTGGATGTGATTTTGTAGACCAAGCCACGGTAGCATTCAACGCTATCACCTCAGGATGCTTGTTGCGCGGTAAAACAAAAGCTTTACGCTCGGAAAGAAGTGATCAATAAGACGAAGTCTTCCCGGAAAAAAATGTTGAACATATGGCAGCAGCCGTTCGGTGGCATGTAGCCGATCAGCACTGGATGGTCCACTGGCGCGGTCGGGAGGCTGGTGTCATTCGGCGGGCGTCCCCACCAAGAAGGAGATGATCCGCGAGCGAATTTCCGGCGTGAATTTCAACCACGACATTGCGAGCGTACTAAGACCAGAAGGACAACACAAAGTTCACAGCAGCCTGTACAACTGCGGGGAGAACATCAAGGCTTTGCGTGTGCGAATACATACAGCATGCTGTCGCCTTCTCTTGTGCAATACCTCTCACAACACCTCTCTCGTGTCTTCTATCAGAGTCTTATATTCGCATCAGAGCATCTAGTGCAATACAGTGATAACATCAAGAACATGAAGCCTTGTTTTCTTGCGATGCGAGCACCCGCGTGATGGCAGTCAAAACGGGAATGCCGGGCTTACGTGGGGCGTAGCGGAGATACTCTCTCAGATGGCGCCAACATCTATCTATGATTTGTTTGCCTGCTTTCACCTTCAGCTTCTTGCCATCAAAACAGAATCTCCAGGCCTATGTTACCTATGGTCCTCAAAGTCGTAACCAAAGAAACCAAAAAAACACGAAACAAAAACAAAAACACAAAATCAGGGACACTATGGTCCGGAACATAGTTGTGCATTTTTATTGTTGTTTTTAGATATTTTTGGTTTCTTTGGTTACGACATTGAGGAACATAGGCCTGGAGATTCTGTGTTTTTGGTTTCTGGTTGAGCACACAGTTCGAAATCTAACTTTGTTATGCTTTTAAGTTTAGTTTTGTGATATCTACTGTTTGGTGTTGTTATGAATTTGCTTCCTCGCCCGCCCCCCCTGCAGTCATATTATAGTGGAGGTCGGTCAATAGGGGGAGGGTTACCATATATATATATATACACACATAATACACATGTAGATTCTACCATGTAGATTTTATGGATGCATACACACACATACGTAGCTTCGCGTTCATTCACACTTACATTCATACCAATTATACCTGTATATACATACCTACATCTTACAATAGAGACCTACCTGCCTGCCTGCCTACCTACCTACCTACCTACCGACCGACATACCGAGATACATACGTTCCTGCATAGCTGCACACCTACACTACGTACACACATGCACACACACACACACACAGATAGATATATATATATATACGCACACAACATACCTATGGACGGACGGACAGACAGACAGACGGACGGACGGACGGACGGCCGGGCGAGCGGCGGGCGGGTTGGTGGACGGACGGACACACACTCGCTTTCCCTCATCAATATGTATGTACTTATCATACTTATAATATATTGTACTCACAGAATGGTCTTCCCTGCACCTTGTGTCGGTAAGCATGGCCATTGTCAGGAGGCTGCGGCCAATCTTGCCGAAGGCTCTATGGAACCTTCCAGGACTTGTGCAATGTCAACAGCGGGGAGTCTAGGCAACCGTAGTGGGGCAACTGTGATTCTGAGCCAGTGGAGCATGGGCAAGGGCGGCAAGGTGTATGGCGTATGGGTTGCAATGTTTGAAAGTGGGACTGGATACGTAGGATGCCAAGTGGCCCCAGGTCCGAACGAAGCCGGGAGGTGGCGAGTTGTAGACATGTGGCTGCGTGCAAGGACCACCTCGGCTGGCTGATTTGAGGGTACGTGGTGGCCGGGCAGGAATATGCTTATACAGTCGAGATCAGTCGGTAGTGTTGAGAGCAACTTAATTCAGGTGCATTGAATGAACAGGCCAGGTTTGAATTTGAGTTCCAACATGCAGGTCTTGTGGATACAGTCGCAACCGACTGCCTCTCCTTGACTGCCTTGGGCCCCTGATTGCTAGTTATGCTACTGGTATTTTAGATCGCGGAAGTGAGAGCTGAAATCCAGAAGGTGCTTGCTTGTCTCTTAGCTACTCCATGCAGACAGCGACATGCTAAGACTGCCAGATTCCGGCTCATAGGGAAACTCCGTCTGCCTGCAATAGGCATACGCGTTGCGGGTGTCTAGTGCCAAGACCAAGACCTGCTGGTCTGCTGGGCAGCTAAGCCTCTAGGCAAACAACAAAAAACCGTCCAACTTTGTCCAGGCCACGCAGCGAAGATAACGCCCACCTTGTGAGGGAAGACTCTGTCGGCAGCTATACTCTATGCTTTGAGGATCAGCTGCTCGGTGTCGCATGACTTTCAGAAGCTTGGAAATCTGTAGACATTCGCGCAGCTAGATCTAACACTTCTGAAGACCATCCGATGCTCCGAGCTGCCATGAAGGGGTGATGCCCAGGCCTCAGATCTGCAGGGCAGGCTTCCTATTTGCCTGGGTCGACTCCAACTGATCAGATCTGAGACCACTGCTGAAGCTCATCCAGATCCTGGGCCGTCACGATCTGCGCATCCCCTGCGCCATCGAAGAGAACCTTGCAAACACCTGCATCCCGGGACTCTTTGACTTGAAACTGTTGCAAATGTGCTGGGGTTCAAGAACTTGTGCAGGAACGCAGCTAACAAGAGTGGAGAGGCGTCAAGCCATGGGAGGCCATGGGTATGCTCATAAAGAGGTCTCCTTTCAGGATTCTGACTTCTGACTCCTGCAGCCACAAAATGCGAAATCAGCGCAGGCACCTCTGTCCGTGCAGGACAGGAATGCTCCACTTTGCCCGTGTGCACGAACCTGGGTTGCTCTGACCTCTTGGACATGATTCCGTCGAAAAGGACTTGCTAAGCTGCTAATTATTCGATCTGTGGATGATCTGCAGCTGACAATGAAACCGACGTGCTCTCTCTGTTGTTCTGCTTTCCAACAACCCGTCGAACTGGCCAAGCCACACGCTGCCCGCGAACAAGGCTTCCCGCATCGGCTACGGGTCGGTAGGCGGAGACCAACCTCCGGGCAAACACATAAACGACGTTCGCAAAGGGTAGATTCTTCAGTAAACCATAGCAGTCATAGCATGCAAGTTGATGCGCGAGACTCACGAGACAGCGGAGCGTGAGACAGTCATGCTCAGAAGACACTGAAGAGTGTTCTGAGGCAAAGACGAACGTACTCTCAACTGCAACCCAGCCACCCATGTAGCGCACCCAGCAACGCCCAAACCTGAGATGTCAGCTCTCTGAATCGAGCTCAGGAGATGCGGCGCACAGGGCCAAGCAGACTCCAAGCATTTGAGCAATGGGAAAGCTGCTCTCGAAATCTGCCAGCACGGAAATGCTCAAGGGCTCGCCAGGGGACAGCTTGCGCTCGGCCCCACTTTCCAAGGTAGCGCCTGCCCCCTCCCTGCTCACAACTGAGAACCATGCGAGAAGACTTGAAAGAATCGGTTTCTGTACAAGGCAGACAGTGGCTGGAAGACAGAAAACCACCCTGCCCCCCGACCCGGGAATAGAAAGACAACTCCTTACCTAGTCACGGCATGATCAGGACTGCAAACCCATACTGCTGATGTCCAATCCAATCCACCAGGCGAAACGATTCGACATGATTCGACCACTGGTGGGTTGCGCATTAACAACGGCATGGCTCGCCTGGCATTCTCCTCACGCTTCTGCCGTTTCCAAAGCCTGCACACCGAGCAGAAATGGAAACGATTCAAGTCTAGAGGCCTGGAGCATGTCCTCGCTGGCACGGGACTTTCACAGAACAGCCTGCTGGACCGACTTGCCACGCGACATGTCAATACTGGATGTCCTTGCAGGCAACCGTTTCCTTTACGGATCCAGGGCATGCACCTCGACTGTCTTGCGGCCTTCTGCCAGCCTCGCGAAAAAGCTGAAAGCAAGAAATGGATCGCACTGCGGTGATCTCCCAGGGTTCCTGAAGCCCGGCTTCCACTAAATCCGGCGGGCCTTGGAAGGGCCCTTCCAGGTCGAGGTCGAAGAGACCGCGCACCGTTCCTTTGCCCACCCGCATCTTGGACTGAATGCGTCTCTCCGATGAGCAGTTCAACGTAGTCTGCAACCATGCATCCGCCGGTGGGCTGAACGGACCGATCAAGATATTCCTCATTCGACTCACGGTCATCATGGTGCTGCCATGTTTATGAGCACTAACCTCTCGTCCTCCTGTCGCGCTACGTACTTCGGTGTCTTCGCAGAAGTAAAAGCACGGTCGTTGTGTCACAAATCCGACAACTCAGGCGAGCCAATCTCTGCGAGAACGGAAAAGCTAGTTCCGTGCATCAGATGCAGTCCTCCGGCACTGCTTCAGCCGGACCTTGCAAGATCCGGTGCGCACTCAAAATTTTGTCATGGGTTCGCATCCAGAGACATGTCCTTCTCTGAGCCGCGGAGCCCGGAAGCGCAGCGCCTTCGGCCGGCCAACTCGGGATGTCTCGCCTCCACGGATGATGAGCGGATGCAAGCGGATGGCGCCGAGAGGCTGTTGGGGTTTTGCCGCATTACCGGTGCTCCCTGACAGCCTGGAGGGTTGTGGAATCGGCGGAGGCACTGCCGGACCCTCAGTCGAAGCCACCGGATAAGAGCGAGACTGCTTACAAAGCTACACTTCGAGAACCCACCACATCTCTTCGGCTGCTTCGGTAAAGACTGGGTAGCGAATGGTAGAGGGGAAACTGCTTGAGTGCTGCTTTCCACGCATGGCCGACTGACAACGAGGATGCGCAAGCTAGCAATCAAACTGAGAATGCAGTGCCACGGGGCGGGAATCAGCGCCGATGGCCTCCAGTCTTTCAAACTCCGCGTACCGACTGTGGTAGGTTTCCAGTTTTGAATCATGCCCCACGAGTCAGGCAGCCCAGGATCTGGGAAGACCCGGGGCCATCGTGAGACGTATGCCACATAAAGCACCGGACTTTGCAGTTGAGAAGCTTGCGAAAGCTGAGCTGTCCGGCGACCTCGGCTTGGGCCAATGCAACGGGGGCTGCGGCTGCGTCATCCGATGGTGGAGACTTTTCTAGACAAAGCTGCCCACGGTCGAAGCAGCTGAGTAGCTTCAGTCCGGCAAACTAGGGGCGTTTCCAGTGCCAACGCAATTCAACCAGCTGGAATATCTCCCGACGAGAGTGTCTAGAGCTGCCCGGTCACTGGCTTTGTCCCTGCAGGGGACACTGCCGGCTCTGCTGCTGCGACGGATGAAGCCTGGCAGAGCATCTGTCCGCTGCCCACTCTTACTCTAGTGTAGCTGGGGAGTGGGCAACAGACCATGTGAATTAGCAGATCTTCAATCGACCTGTATTGAGCCCTGAGAATTTGGGTTACAGCACGAGCCATGTAATGTCAGCTTCGATTTCATAAACCCCCGTCCGGAAACGCAATTATCCCCCCCCCCCCCNNGGGCAAAAGGAAACCAAGAAGCTCCAAAAGCCGCAACTCGCGAACCTCTGGTAACGGTAATGTTGAGTTCCTATTGATAAACCCGCTCCATTATGAAATTCGACCCCCGCAACTCCATTATAACCCCCCCCTCAATGATAAAGCCCGATCCATTTAACTCAATAACTAAGAATTCCGTCCCTGGTTCCTAAAAGACAACTTGAGGCCCTTGCGTCAGCCCTCCCAGAGTCGCAGAGAGAGTCCACCCCTCACTGGTCAACCATATCGGCCGGGGCTTGACATCAACCGAGGGGCAGGGGACTATTGAAACGAGGTGAACATTAGCACTAACTCTGGTGCTCGTGGCCTGGATTGGAGCTCTACTGCACCATGCTGTCATCCTGTCCCCATGCTTTTCGACTTAGCAGTGAAGATTGTCAAGAAAGCCACCCAACATCGGAAATCACGGCTCCTGGCAATTAGTTTGCGACCTTGTAGCAGTTGGGCCTGCCCGACGTCACCCTCGGTGCTTCCGGACCAAGCCGCTGACAACTCCTGGCAGCTCAAGAAGGACTCTGCGGACCGGAACCCTCTGCTGCCTCTGCTCATGAGTCTGCTTCTGGCTGTGAGGACAGGCATAGCATCCTTGTAGGATTATCTACGTGCACTCCTTCCAGAGCTCAACGTTCCGGTCAGCCAGATTCCGCACACGGCCCGCCAAGGATTGGCTGGAGGAATAGCTCAACCTCGACGTGATCCGTCGCGGGAGAGCTGGGACATGCTCGGCACGCGGCCCATCACTGATTGCCCTAGATGATGCCAAGCATGCAAGGTTGCTTCGTTGCTTCTGCCGGGAGGCGCGTCCAAGGTCTCTGCAATGGCCAAGATGGCTGCAGGTGCAGCCGTGGCCTCGAAAAGACGGACAGCTCTCTGCACGAAGCGAGACGGGACAAAAAGGGGACACTCCGAGCACCCAGGCGGTCACTTGGCCCGAGTCCGTCAGCTCCGCTCTCAGAGGCTCCGCAAGGGCACAGCTCCTTGGCTTTGGATGGTCTTCGGCAAAGGGCTGCCATGTTTTGATGCTTTTGATCTGTTGCATCTGTCGCACAACTTCTGGAGTTAGAGCCCCGGGTTGTCTATATGGCTCGGCGGCTGACAGCGCACGTAAGTGCAGAGAGAGCGCGGACGTGATGT